CAAAATTTCTTTCCTCTTCTTCCTTCTATCTTTCCCAACCAAACACACTTTTCTCATCCCCACCCTTCCTTCCATCCCCTAAAAAAACCTCCAACTAAACAATGAGTAAATTTTGAGGAGAGCAGGAACATTTTTCCCTTCGTGACTGATTGGGAGGATTTGGAGCATAAGAGGTGATATTCTATCCTATCTTGACTAATACGCCCATAATTATTTTCAATATTTCTAAATTATCCATCTTTCCTGTTACGTGGTCCATTCTTCCTTGAGACCTCGACCCAATCCAGCCATAGAACTACATAAGCACCCTTTCAGCATATTTTTGGACAAATCCAGGCATCGAAGGTATGGGGTGTTTCCTAGTTCTTCTGAAATCCACCTTCCCTCTCAGTGCCCAGTCACTTTTGGCCTACAATCTACATATGTTGCGATACTCCTCGTAGGAAAACAAGGAACCGCTGAAGTACGAGCCAATTATTTGGGATATTCAGCAGCTCATTTATAGATTTAGGATGGTTTCGCTTTTTAGAGTTTAATAGTTATAATGTCACTTGCTCATAAAGGAAAAAAGTTACAAGAGTAGATGAAGGTAGAAGGACCTGCACCAAATATTCGTAATTATATTTTATTTAAAATATTTATAATTATTATTTTGTGTGTGTATATATATATTATAAACATAATTATAAAATATAATTTTGGATATAAATACATACATATATACGTATATATAAGTGTACTTGTAATTAGGAAAAATTCCAACAAATAACTTGAACTTCAAAATTCCTAAAACTCACTCCATTTTCAAAAATCTCAAATCAATCCCCACAGCCAAAAAGGATTTTAAAATGGTAGTGTTTTTACAATTTCACCTCTTATTAAAAAAAGAAAAAGAAAAGAAAAGCCTTGTTGCAAGTAAGAGGGTGTAGTAACTTGGTAAGAGCGTTGCTTGTGGTAAAAGCATTGTCAATGCTGGAAGCCTAACAGACAATTTAAAACATGACCCTCTTGTTATAACTTGTACAGTGTATGGGTGTGTCAAATAAAATCCCACATTACTTTAGGGTCCATTTGGTATGAGGGGAAGGGAAAAAATTTTAATAAACTCGTTTTAAGAAATTAAAGAATTGGCGTTATAAAATTTTGATAAAATGAAAATATGAGATAAAAGGAAAAAAATTGATTCGAAAATTTTAATTCCACTTTTTTAATTTTTTAAAACGATCTCATTAAAATTTTTGCTTTTCTTCCTTCCCCACCATTTTTCTCACACCAAACAGCCCTTTAGTGAGAGGGGAACCAAGAAAATATATAAGAAATCAAATGACTGGGGGGCGTAAATGGGCAGAAAGTATGGGTGAGCCTCATGAACACAACAACAAGACACTAAGAGGGAAATGCTGTTAAAAACTAATGATTTGCTCTGTGCACATGGGTTAAACATGGATTTGGCACCTTTTGCAAAATATTTTTCATGAAAATTTAAAAATATTTTTATAGTGGGTTTGTTTAATTCTGAGATGTACTTCTTCTTAATGTATAAAGGGGTTGCCGTAAGGACTAAAGACAATGCCTTTGGGATGTGACTCAAACTATTTGGTTTATAGTGTTGTCACCAACACCTCTTACTTGTATTTTTCCAAATACGTACTTGTAAAAAAGTTGTTGTAAACAACGTTAATGAGGTGGTGAAACTCATTACAAATGTTGTTAATACACTATAAGTGCAATAAAAGATTTAAAACATAATTCTTTTAATTATATTTTCCCAGTTGTTGAAATTTTTAAAAAAATATTATAAACTATGTTGATGAAGCTGTGAAATTCATTAGCACTGTTGTCAATGTCATTGCTAGTGTAGTAAATGATTTATAATAGGGCCCTCTCGTTTTTTTTTCCTAGTGTTGAAATTGTAATATATATATATATTTGTAAGTGGCATTAATAAAGTGGTGAAACTGGTTACAAGTGTTGTTGATGTGATTGATTGGAAGTGTAGTAAATACTACCTCTAATTCTAATTATAAGATCTAGTTGATTAATTTGAGGAGATTAAAGAAAGAAGTTAAGTTAGTTATTTGTAATAAATATGTGTTATCTTTCTTAAAATATCCTTGCTAATCAAGTGTATTGGCTAGGACTATCATTGTTAGAAGGACCACTTTGGAAAAAAAATATAAATATGAAAGACAAAATAGATTGGGGTCTTATATTTAAGACTAAAATAAAAGTCAAATAAGGTCTTATATTAAAGACCAGAGGTAGTAGTTGCCAGAGCTCTGATCGCTGGCGACCATAGGAACTCTAGGTTTGTCAGTGATAGGGTGGCCGTTGGGGTTGGATTTACTTGTGAGGATAACTTAGTGTCCTTTAAAAAAAAAAAAGAAATAGGACAATTTTGTCAATTCATCAATATTGAAATTTTGAAAATCAACATGTATTTTTGGAGAATTTCCCTTATAATTATGGATACATATAATAATTTATATAACTTATTATTAGTAAATTTTTTGGGAAAATTGGAGATAAAACTCTCATTGGGAATTTAGTTGGCAAATGGTACATAAGCACTTTTTGTAGCTCAACCATGGCGTGCAATTTATCTTCTTTAGTGTGCAATTATTTTTTCTTATGCGATGTACAACTTGTGTGGTATGCAACTCAATTTTTATTTGTGCAACTAAACATCTCTTGCGTTCATCATCTTCCATATATGTGAGTTAGTCTCTTATGTTCAAACAGTACTTTGTGCAAACTATCATCCATTTATGCAATTTAATTTTTCTTATGCAATTCATCATCTTAGAAACCATTTGCAAATTAAATTTTTAACAAGGGTTTTATTCTCAATTTTTTCAAATTCTAATCACCTTTAAAACTATCCATTCTTTTTATCTTCATTCTTATTTAATAGAGTATCTCTAAACTAGAAAAGTCTTGGTCATCAAACTTCAATTAAAAATATTTTTAGAAAAACCTTATTAATTATATCTTGAAAAATAAAAATACTTTGTATTTTTAAACATCACATCTCAGAAAAAATATTTTCTAATTTTGAAGGAGGAAGTATAAACTTATTCATTTTTCAAATTATATCTTCCTTATTATTTTGGGTTAAGATTAATTTTTGTTTTAGAAATTTTTACAAAAAGCCTAAAGATATTGGGAAAATCACAAATCAAGACTCCTTGAATTACCAAAATTATGCAAAGGTCATCTGAATAAGTAAAATTACCATGAAGGACCCAGTCCCATATTGTAAATATGAAATCTTGGTGACATGTTTGAAATACCCCCAGCCAAATGATAAGTTGACTATAGGAAATGACAAGTTCACTTTAGTAATGACAATTTCAGTAGACAAAATCACAACTTGGTTGAAGGTATACTAAATGATAAGTTGATTATGGGAAATAACAAGTTTACTTTAGTGAATGACAACTTTAGTAGACCAAATCACAACTTCGTTGAGGGGCATTTCAGATATTTCACCAAGATTTTATATTTACAATATGAGACTGGGTCCTTCATGGTAATTTTGCTTATTCAAGTGACCTCTGCATAATTTTGATAATTCGAGGGTCTTTGTTTGTCATTTTTCCAAAGATATTTGGAATTTTTTTTAATGTCCCTTATTATCTTTTTTTTTTTTTGGGACCTGTTAATGTCCCTTTTTAATAACAGAACAATATCACTCTGTCAACATTAGTTTTTAATTGGGATTGCTCCCCTTTTTTACACTAAGTAAAAATCTTTCACCACTCACAAGTTCTTCCTAAATACTACATCCGATTCTTAATATAAGACATTATTTGACTTTTATTTTGTTCCTAAATATAAGACCCTAATCCATTTTGTCTCTCATATTTATGTATTTTTTCTCAAGATAATCTTTCTAACAATAGTAGTTCTAGCTAATGCACTTAATGATATTTTAAGAAAGATACCACTTATTTATTACAAATAACTAACTTAATTTCTTTCTTGAGTTTCTTCAAATTAGTCACCTAGCTCTTTTAATTAGGACAAGGTAGTAGCTAGTAAAAATATTTCAATACTCACAAACTTAGCGGGAAATTCTATTGCATCTATGAATGTTTATGCAGCGAGAACTTCGAATTCAATCTTCAACAAATGGAGAAAATTGGCACCAGTAGATGTATGGAATATAAGCGGTGAACTATGCAGCGGTCGAGCCATTGATAGCACTATCGATATCGAAGCCTTCAATCCATTTATCAAATGCGACTGTCCTAATGGCATTTGTCACATTACTACACTGTAGACTTTCAATCTTCTCGTGACTTGATTTATTGATCTTGTTCTGTTTTATGGATTGTTGATCTTGATCTTGGACTATTCCCGCTAGTTTCTGGCTTTTTTTTTTTTTTTTTTTTTGTGGTAGGAAGGTTTATGCATTGGATGTTGCTGGGGAAATCCCAGAGGAGCTCTGGACTCTGACTCACCTCACCAATTCGTATGCCTTTTAACTCCTCAGTTTTTCAATTTACTGAAATTTCTTGCCAAAAATCCTGGAAAGGGTTTTGATATATATATATATATATTAAATCCATGGATTCTTTTTCTTGTTAATTTTCCTGCCTTTCTTAGCATGCTAAAGTTTCCTCCAATTGCAACCAGGAAACTCGAACAGAATTATTTGACGGGTTCCTGCCTCCAGCCATTGGAAATCTAACTCATATGTAGTACCTGTAAGGCAGATTAGCTAGAAGTTATAAATGCCTCTTGTATCTCAAGATCCTCTCAATTTCTTTTGGGAAAAAGATGGTCATTTCGAACAAATCTATACTGTTCAGTTGATTTGGATAGTTCAAATATCTTAGTAACAGTTTTGTTTATTTTAAATGGCCAAAAAAAAATACAACATTCAGTTTGATATGATCGTAGGATCTATTCAAAATGGATAATTTTTTTTCCATCTTGAATGGAGAGAATTTTGTTTTGCTTATTGTGCCTTATGATAAATATTCAGGAACTAACTTTATCATATATTTATCCTAATTAAGAGCTTCGGCATCAATTCCTTGTCAGGGAAGCTTCCCAAGGAATTGGGAAACCTTATTGAGCTAACATTATTGTAAGTCATCTACTTCCCCTTGAAGCAATTTCCCCTTTTTTTCCCCCCGCATCTCATTTTCATTTTGTTTCTCTGTTTCTGCGGATGATCAATCTGGCAACTTTGACATTTTGGTGCTTTTTCATATATTCTAATTGTATCATATTATTCAGAGGTGATATTTTTTCTTTGCTTTTTGTTTTTTTATTTTTCAACGGGCTTTTTAATGCATGGAATTGATAATGAAAGACCTTGAATAATTGTGTAGCTTAATTAAAGACCATTATGTTTTATTAGGATTATGATGTTGTGACACATATACCTTGGTGATACTATCGATCCACTTAATTATTTGTTAATTTTGCAGGGCTCTTGGATCCAACAACTTCTATTGTTCTATCCCATCTGAACTAGGGAAACTTGTGAAGTGGGAACAACTGTAAGCTCCGCTGCACTCTGCACCTATAGTTTTTGTTATGATAAAATTGAAAAAGTCCCATATTGGGAATGGGGTTCTATTTCTAATGATGAGCTTATAAGAGATAAACAGCCTCAGCTCCGTAAATTTTAATCTTTGAGATGACTTTTATGTGTTTAATTTATGTTTGATTATTCTATAGAATATATGTAGCTGCTTGCTGGCGAATATTTTTCTGGCAATTTTCAAGAAATACTTATTATGTTTGAGACTTACAGGTTATAGTAAAAATAATGGACATGAACAACTTGCATGATATTTTGCTTCTCAAATATGTATTTTTCATATTATTTTCAATAAAAAATATAGTGAATCCTTCTTCCCATGTTTGGAATTTATATTCTACATTTCAAATATATTTGATAGTAGCATTGGCAACATGTCTAAGAATATTTCACGTCAGTGTAGTGAGGGTCCTTAGATACCCAAAAAGTTACAATTCTTCAATCTGTTTTGGATTATGTCAATTTATTGATTGATCAGTAGATGATGTAAATTTCAATGAAAATTTCTATGCAGCTATTTAGATAGTTCAGGACTAAGTGGTCAGATTCCTCCCACTTTTGCTAATCTTAAAAACCTAGCGACAGTGTAAGAAATTGTTATTTTTTCTTGTATGTCATATGGTAGTTATAACATTAAAAATGACATCACTTTAAAAGTTTTCCTTTTGTCCAGATGGGCTTCAGACATGGAACTCACAAGCAGGATACCGGACTTCATAGGAAATTGGTTTAAGCTTACAGTCTTGTAAGACAATATTACTAATACTGTTAAACATTCTAAAGTGGCATAGGGAATTTTGAATAGACTGTTTGATGTTTAATGAGTATTGAGTTTATCTAGCTAATTTGCATGAAGTCCTTTAACTGTGTGCGTCATTTCAAGGAATTTAATTGTTGAGAAAGCACAAGTTTAATATTAATCAATATTTATATGTTCATTTTATATTATGTGTTGTTATTTATTTAGTTATGTATATCCTAGGATTGGGTATGTATATTTTATCCTATATTGATATCTTACCATATCCTATCTATCTTAGAAGAATAAATCTAAGATGTTGGGATTAGATATGATTTTATAGTTAGCCTATTAGCTTAGGTCTTTTGCTTATATATACCCATCATGTACTTAGTTTTATTCAAGGATCAATAATGACTTTGGTTAGAATGAAATTTGAGAAGCTTTAATTAGAAGTCTCTACTTTCTTATATTTGGAGATAATTACTTCACAGTCTTCTTGTGATCAATTTGAGGCTTTTCCCCTAGTGGGTTTATGATAGAGTTGCTTTTACTGGTCAAAACTTAAAAATAAAACTAGGAAGATACAAGAAAGAGGAAAGCCACTTTTTGAATGTCCAGGGCATTGACCTAAAGCTTCCTACTATTTGGGAAGACTCACTTTTTGGCCTTATATTAGCCATGAGTGGTTCATGGGAGGAGTAGGACTTGTTTTGTATTCAAAGTGTAGTGAGGAGACTACAGGGCTCTTGAAAGCTAGGTTAGGGGTGGAGGAAGAGAGTCGTTCTCATCATTTTTATCTGTAGTTTAGTGTGTTAGTGGGTTGAGTGTTCTGTGTTGTTCGCTATATGTGAGCTGAACGATTGATATCTTGTATTGTAGCCAAGTGTTTTCCATAATCAATATTAGTTTCAGCATTGTTTTTCTACTGTTTTATCTTGGTCCCGAACAGTTTATAAAGGGATCAGAAAGCACTTCTGAGTTCACAAGTCTTTAAATAAAATATAGTTTTTTCTACGGCTACTTGTGTAAATGGATCGATTTCTTTTCTCATCAATGAATTCCTTTCCTAATTATGAAAACTTGTGTGCAAAAAAAAAAATTGTCATGCAAATACTTATTTTGAATTCTGTTCCAGAAGTTTGTGCTCACTGAATAGAATTGCTGTATTTTTTGATAGGAGGTTTCAGGGTAATTCTTTTGAAGGCCCAATACCATCATCATTTAGCAATCTGACTTCTCTTGCAGAGTTGTAAATGCCATAGCTATTTACTTGCATGCACTTCTACAAATTGTTATGAGCTAATTATAATGCTTATGCCGGAGAATAAGTGAAATATCTAATAGGAGCTCCTCATTAGCATTCATAAGGAATATGAAGTCTTTGAGTGTCTTGTAAGTTGGAAGGCAATGACTCCCCTAATAATTCATTGTCTACCTGCTATCAAGATATATTTCTTCCCTAGTATTATTGTAACGATTTGGTTAAAAATTTTGCAGAGTATTGAGATATAACAATATTTCTGATTCAATTCTATCCAATATTGGTGAATTTCTAAAATTGATCCAACTGTGAGTATTACTTGTTCATGTAATTCTTTAAATATGTATAAACTGTCCATATATCTTAATTTGTGTAGAGGTATAGGTTAGCAAATACTAGCCCTAAGCCATGCTTCCCTAGAAATCAAAGGTGGAATTTCAAGGGATCCAGTCAACCTATTATTCCATTTCTTAGTTTCTTAATCATGTCACATTTTTATGAAAATTTATTTCTCTTAATGCTCTTCCTTTATGTGATTCTATTGGCAGGTGTGTAGCCATGGTCTCAAATAATGGCCCATGGCAATAATGTAATAAAAAGAACAAAAGCACAGACTGTGATTTTTCTTCAACTTGTTTCCCAGAAGAAAGCAAATGAGAATGTGGTTTCCATTGGATATCTTGAACCTGAATAAATACTTTATTTTTTGGACAATAGATAGAATGATTAACTATAGGACAGGCCCCAATGCTAATTCTTTCTAATTGAAATGTTCTTCAAGCTGAGTGATTTGTGATTAGAGCTCAATGTCTTTGCTGCTGGGAGTCGGCTCGAGATTAGCGGCATTAACATGGGTTCTTCACTAATTTTCTATAATCCATTTCTTTTTTATTCTCTTCAATATTATGTGCTTTATGTGGTAGAAAATGTTTGGAGCCAACTATTCATCTTATCTTTCATACCCATTATTATTATTTCAATGGGGAAAGAAACCAATGGTCTTGAGTTGTTTTTGTGTTCCAAATCCAGATGATTATATGCTAGTTCTTGCAGGGATCTGAGCTTCAATAACATCATAGGATAGATTCTGGGATCACTTTTCGTTCTGAGTTCACTAACACACTTGTAATATATATGTTGTGCCTAAGTAATTGAATTATGGATTTCCTGACATGCTTTCGTGATTGGACTAAAGCATGATTTGTTTTTCTCTAATATCAGGTTTCTTGGAAATAATAAACTTAGTGGCATAATCCCTACTTAGATAAGCCCAACACTTCTTAACATGTATGTATTTTTGACATATTCGAGCTCTACAGCATTGCAGTGCATTAAGAATGGAGTATAATATATATTACCTTCAGTTCCTTATACAAGAGCTGGTAAGGGGTTAGACTTTGTTCTAAATATATAACCTTAATTTACTTTATTTAACATATTTATCATTGTTCCTCAAGTTAATTTACCTAACTTACAAAATGATATAATCTAATGTTGTTCAACAGTATTTTGGGGAGATCATGTCATAATTAACTAATTTATCTTCTTAATCTTTTCAAATTAACTAAGTAGCTGTTATATTAAGAACTAGGGGGTTATTGTTTACATGTTTGTGTGCAACTATATTAATATTATTATATATGCATGCTTAGTGGATCTTATATCCTAGCTGTATTTCTAAATTCAAGCATTTTTTTTAAACTTAGAGGGTGGCTTTGTATCTTTTGGCACACCACATTCTAATATGCTAGTTCTATATCCATATATCTATAAGATTGAGACCTACAGGTTCATTACCATGATACTTGTGAAAATAGAAGTTGGTGAAATCATGTCATTTTTATGCTACTGATACATCACTAATTGTAATTAAATGCTAAATTCTTTAATGTATTGCTTGTCATATATATGGTATTTACTTGAACGACTTGGATGAATGCATACAGAGACTTGTCCTACAACAATCTATCAGGGAGCCTCCCTCTTGGGTAAACCAAAAAAATTTACAACTATAAATAACTTGGCATTGTTTCTTTTGATAGTTTTGAAAATTTCTTGCTTCATTTTAAGTCTTTAACTGTCAAGCCCTCTTTGCAACTTAAAATATGCAGTTCTTTATGTTCAAATTATATTTACTATAGATTTAGTATATTTATTCGTTAAAGTTTTGTATTTCATTCATAAAAGAAGACAGAGATAGGAGGAGGCAAGAGGTATATCTCTTATGACCATGAATAATGCAACAATAAAAAGCAAAACAAAAGACCCAGATTTTGTTGACTTTAATTGTGCTATACGAGAATAATGTTGATGTCCAAAATTGGGTAAACTACTATTGTATAAAACTCATGAGCTAGATAATGAAACTATAGGAAAAATTATTGAGCTTGTATTAGGAAACAAAACTATTATTTCAAAGAAATAATTTGAATTTATGCCAACACAGTCTATAATAGAGAACTCTTTTAGAAGCGGATAATTTTCAAGAGAACTCTTAAGAGAAGGGTTTAAGAAGTTGCACGGAAATGCTAATATCGTGGAAGAAAAAGGCTGAGAAGTTTCAGAAGGTTGTTAAACCAATTTTAAAAGAATCAAAAGGTCTCGTTTAGTGAGATAAGGAGACTTAGTGGTAGAATTAGGATGGGCTTAAAAGTCATTTTTCCCCCAAAGTTTTCATGAAAGAGTTAATGGGTATTAGGAATTAAGGTTTTTTTTTTTATCAATGTCGCCTCAGAAGTGTAAAAATCAAGTAATGTTGATCTGCCTTAACAAATCCAAATGGTTAACTTTTATTGACCCTCTTTTGCTGATGTGGCTTTGCCATGTAGGATGTTATTTTTTTTCCATGTAGGATATTGTGCCACATCATCAAAAAACAAAACAAAAAATAAATTTCCATTGTCATCTCCTCCTCCTCAAGGGAGCACCCCTCCACTGTCCAATCTGGTTCTTTGATTCACAAACCAAAAAAAGGTTTTCTTCTCAAGGAAAAATTTGCAATCTGGTTCTTTGATTCACAAACCCCAACTCTCAAAAGGTTACAGTAAAAAAGAAAATAACTTCCCACTCATTTATAACAAGATCGAAACAGCTTCAGAAACTATCTTTTCCCCAGAAATTTGCTTCCCATTCCTACATCTTCTTTCACTATGGTTACAAACTATATTAAGGGAACATGGGCCAGAAAATCTTGAAGAAGTTGAAAAATGGCATTCATAAAGCATGGATATCAAATCTAATTCATCTGCCATTTTGAAAAGAAGAATGGATACAGTTAAGATAGAAGACTTCCTTGTAAGCATTGGTTTGCATCAATGATCCTTCTTGAGTCCTTAATGGTTTGACTTGGTTACAATGTTATGACTGAGAACATACAAGAGAAAATCACCAAGTACTGTTATTTGCATATGATAACTTCCTAAGAGGGTTCACAAGAAGAGGTTAATGGAGTTTTAGAGATGAACGTTGAAATTGAAGGGTTTTCACTTTAGAACTAAGACGGAATATATGCATTACAAATTTGATAAGAAGCAAGTTAGGAATGATTTAGAGATAAAAATTGGTGATCAAATTGTACCACAAGTTTCAAGTTTAGGTATCCGGGATTTATATTACAAGATGATGGTAAAATTGGTGGATGTTACGCATGAGGTACCAGTTAGGTTAGGTGGTTGAAATGGAAGAAGACATCATAAATAATTTGTGGCTGTCAAATACTTATTGTGGAAATCTTGTCATTAACATCAGAGTATTTGCCTTTTATTGTGATGTAAATACCCATAGTTATAGTAGCTTATTTAGGATCCAGTTTATTCCATTTATGGTATTCCAGATTTCCTGGGCTCTTCGTTATTGCCCTTGGGTGTATATATTTTGTACTATTCCTATTTAGATATACAAGAAATAAATCTTCTTCCCATTTGCACACCCACAAAGCTTAAAGAGAAATTAGAAGTTTTGCCAAAATTGTACAAGACCAATGATGTTATAAGTGAATGTTAGATGTTAAAGGGATGAGAGCTAAGAATTGAGGTTGCAAAGATAAAGATGTTGAAATAGATATGCATCACGCATATGCAAGGAGGCAAGTAGAGATCCCCTCAGAAAGCTACAAAATTTTCTTACAAATGTGCTTACTTTTCCCTGTAAAAAATGTTGAAATTAATTCTTCCCCCTTCATGAAAATTTCCATTTTTGGCCCCCACATGCTAGCTTCTAGATCTATCCCTAGATCATATCCGGTCATAAAAGGAAAGATAAGATCCTTAATAACTGTGTGTGAGAAAAAAGCTGGTGCAGCATCTATCAAGGAGAATTATAGAAAAAATTTATGACTATGTCCGAAGAAGGCCAACAAAAGTACCAATAAGAAAAGTGGAGTAAATTGTCTTAAGGCTTATGGAGAGACATAAAAGGACATCAAGAAAGTGATTAAATGAGATATCTTGATGAACGATATGTTAGAAGAGATGGTTATTGATAGAGCAAAAGGACATTCTAAGATTTATGTAATTGACCTCACTTAATAGGATACTGCTTACTGTTACAATGTTGCTAAATAACAAAAATATATTCTTGAAAATCAAAGAAGTAAAATAGGTCACCAAAAAAAGAGGAAATATAGCATGATAAAAAAAGAGACAGAGAAAGTCACTATACTATGAGATTTTTTAATATGTGGACGTGCCATAATATTACATTATTAATCAAATTTATGTTAGAAATTTGTTATCATATAGTACTTTTGGTGTTTGCACTCATTAACGGTATAGTCATAGCAATTTTTATTCTCTCCATAATTTTTTCCTAACATACTAAAATCATCATGTCTCATTATCACCATTAAAGCAAATTAAAGTTTAGTTGATGTTTTCATGTCACCATGCCACCATCTTTCTATGTTGCATAAATTAATATCCATTTTAAATATTTGCTTGCTTATATATTATGGTGAAACTAACACAGCTATTTTTATGCTGTCTGGAATACAGAAACTTGGCTGCTAACGACCTGACAATAGATGGTTCAAATAGCAGGTGATTCTTCTGCCTTTTATTTAATGATGACACACAAAACACACGGGCATATTTGGCTAGTTGAAGCTTACTGAATATCACTTTTTTTTTGGGGGCAAAATAATGTGACTCTTGATTCCTTTTTGTCCTTTTATTGGTTGTTGTCAATCAAGAGTTATAGGTTTGTTGCATGTTGTTTTGAAGATTTTGAAAAGCTTCTTCACCGTCTAAAACATTTATTCTTCAAGAATAAGGCTAATACCCTATTACTCAAAGCCATGATTTTGCTATTACTCAATCCCGATTGTACATATGTAAAACTGTTATAGATATTACTAAAGCTATTATTGGGCTTTAATGCTTGATCATGAAATGATCAAGAGTCCAACCCTTGCTACCTCTACTTTTTTAATTCAATAATTTTAGCACATTCTGGTGGGCTTCTCCTTCATCTATGTTTACCCAAAGGCCTTCATGTTAGGGGTTGTGATAAAAAAAAAATTCATTGCTAGGATATTTTAGTTTCTAGTGATAAGAATACATGTGTTTATTTAGTTAAACTATACATAAATGTATACACAAGGGATGAGCAAAAATATACTAGGTAATAGCAAGAAAAGAAAAAGAAAATAAAAAACATATTGCTACCTGATATTTATCCCTGTGAATCTTGTGTATCAAATAATACCTAATCAATGCTAATATCTTCTCACAATAATGGATCGGTCAACCCACACTCCCAATTAAGTTGGATTATATATATGTATCATGTCCAAGTTGCTTATAAACCCTTTTAACAAATGTTCAGTGTAAAACCCTTAACCTCAAAAATATTATCAACTCGTCGTAAAATTTACTACTATGGTAGAAAAGGAAAGCTGTTACAACAAACTACCATAGTAGAAAGAAATTGCATAACTTTGGAAATTAACATTTAAACTCGGTTCAAACTCGAACTTTGTTGCATGCAACTAAAATCATTCATTAACAACCATTGGGCCTCCGAGCCTCCGGCCCAGGTAACAAAAGGACATCAAAATCAGCCCATCCCATTTAGTTTCAACCATGTATATCAAAGTTTCACAAAGCAATAGAAATGGCCTCCGGCCAACCAAAATAAGGAGATAACATTCTCTCCTGTTTACAACAAGGCCGAGTAATCAAAATAATTCAAAAGGAGTCCTAAATGTGGTAATATATACTAGCCATACATACACAAGGGCTAGAGGCCTAAAGCTAACCAAGCTCAAGCCTCTGCGTCTCTTCCCGATGGCACACGCCCGGAACCTTCGCCTGAAAACATTATAAACCACGAGGTGAGACAACGTCCCAGTAACCAATCTTTCCAATTCAAGGTACTACTAAATAGGTGCTCGTGAGGTGTCAAGTGGGGCATTTCACAAGTAATATTATAAATGATAGCCACAACAATTCATGCAAGTGCAATGATGCAATTCCCATCAATCATATCCCTCACTTTGGGGGATTTTCAAGAGCCGAACCCGGCCTATCCCTCACTATGGGGGATGTAAGGAGCCAAAAGGCCTATCCCTCACTCTGGGGGACGTACTGAGCCAAACGTCATGCATTAATGGAGGCCTTACCACGTGGTAGTAACTATCAAAAACTCTCACCAATTCCCAATTCATGCATCATGCTCAAACCATAATCAAATAGTAATTGAACATTTCATAATTAACTTCTTTCAGTGGCATATCTTTCACAATCAAGATTCATTCATCATCAATCAAAACCCCATAAGACGGTTTTTCTTTTTATATACAACATACACTTTGAACATAATTGTTACTCAGAGCACAAAACATAAATCTACTTACAATACCACAGAAGTATGTACTAAGGATTGGAAAGTGGTTACCTCTCGCCTGAACAAGGAATAACAACCAACGATACGGTCCGTGCACCAACAAGGCTCACAACCGGTCTACACAAGCACACAAACACACAACCATCATGTATTAGCTTTCAAACTAATAATGTGGCCAAAACAACATTTGGGGACACAAAATTCCTATCTCCAATCAAACTCTACCCAACTCAAAGGGTATAACCATCAAAACAACACTCCAAAGTCATAAAAATCCATTGAAACCTTATTTCCTCTCCAAATATCAATTTAGGATTCAAACCTCAAGGACCCACTATAAGAATTCAATACCCAATCACCCCATTTGAACAATTGAAGTCCTAACAACATTATAAACCGATTAAACATCTAATTTAACCCTCCTTATCATAACCCAAATCACAAAACTCAAAATCAATCTCCACATTGTCATCCTCAATCACAAACCTCCCAATCTCATAAACCCTAACTTCAAAAACTCCAAGTTCTTTAAATCCAAGAAAACTACACTGATTAAATACTTAGACTAACCCAAAGCAATCAATTAAACTCAAAACAATCGGTCAAAAACCTCAATTTCATCACAACCTGGAAAACTCTAGGGTTTCACCATAGATCTTCAGAAACTCCAAGAAAGAAAGTAGATTAGAGGTTAAAATCACTTACTTGAGGTAATAGATCCTTAGAAATGCCCCCTCCAAGCCAAAATACCGAAACCCTAGCAGAGCCTCTCTCTCTACCTCAGATTTTTCTAATTTTCGCACAACTGAACCCCTCCCGCGACTATATAGATTCGGACTCCTTCGCCGCGGCAAACTAATCCCGAGAGGGATTACTCGCCTGAAAACCCAACTTCGCTGCGGCGAACTCCAATCTTCGCTGCGGCGAAAGCTTTCTGAGAGAAAACTCTCGCTCACCTAGAAAATCTTCGCCGCGGCATACCCCTACCTTCACTGCGGCGAAACCTTCCCAAGAGAGAAACCTTGCTCACCTGAACAACTTTGCCGCGGCGTCCCTATAACTTTGCCGCGGCCAAACCTGCCCGAACACCAAGATCAATATTAAATCGCTAATCTATCCTCAAAATCAACCAAAAGAGGTTATTAAAACCCGATAAAACTCAAGATGTTACATTTAGGTAGTCCTTTGGTAAGAATATCAGCATTTTTCTTTTTAGTAGGGATATAGGACAAGCCTAGAATTTCATCTTTGACTCTTACCTTGATAAAGTGTATATATACTTCAACATGCTTGGTTCTGTCATGTTGGATAGGATTTAGTGCCATATTTATAGCATCCTTACTATCACAATAGAGCTTCATTGAAGGGTCAGCTTTCACCTGACAGGACATCTTCCAATTTCATGAAGGCATTTTTTTATCCAATTATGGGCTTTGCAACTAGAGGTAACCAAAAGATTAACCATAGGTTTAGATAGAAGAGAAGGAGTAAGAGGATAAAATTTAGAGGAGAAAAAACATGACAAAAAAATATTATTGTTTATATAGCAAGAAAAAATAAGAATGAGCGAATAGTGGAGGAAAAGAGAGACTTGAACATAGCTACATGCATGTCTCTGCTTGAAGTTCACTCTTTAAAAGTAGAGATAATTTTAAAAATGACACGCCTTTGAAAATCGTTCCAACAATTTAGAGTTCAAAATTGATTTATTCATTATGGGTATTAGATATTATTATCATTTTCAAATTAGTCATTGATTGTCAATGCAACAACCTATTAACTAATTGGGCATACCTTAATTTATGTTTGTCCTTAATATAAGACACTTGCCAGTTTTTCAGCAAAGCATTTTTCTGTCATTGTGTGGGTTTTGCAACTAAACATAGCCATATGATTGGAAAAAAACATGAGTTCAATTCAACTTGAAAGTTGAAGCATAGCGTTTCTATTACCGTATTTCTTCTCTTCCATTTTAATTTGTGGCAAAGTAGGCATGGTAGTGCAAAAAATTTTCCCCCCTTAGTGAATTGGTAGTGCAAATTTATCTACTAAATTTATGAGAAAATGTGGATAGCAACAAGTTATACCCTATCAGTTTCTCTTTTTGTTCATGACCTTGTTCGTGTTTAGTTTGAGAGCTTTTAGCTATTGATACAAAGCCACACACTTTCAGCTATTCTAAGTTAAAGAATGCTACAGATGACTTCAATCCTAGAAAGAAACTAGGAGAGGGAGGCTTCGGACCTATTTATAAGGTGAATATTTTGTGATGGGATTTGGGATGACAATAAATTGCATGTAGTATGCCTCTTCATTATGTACGTTACTGATAGGATTTATAGGGTTGTATAAATAAAAACTTACAGGGCTTTATTATGGTAAAGAAAAAAGATTTTATTTATAATATCAGAGCACAACACAAGCCTTGATTCAATAGAATAACCACTTTCGCTGTTTATACTAGGGAAAAATTAATAATAGAGGAGTAATTGCTATGAAACAACTATCCATAGCATCTCATCAAGGAAAGAGCTAGCTCATAGCTGAGATTGCAACTATATCTGCTGTGCAACATCGTAATCTTGTTAAATTATATAGATATTGCCTTGAAGGAAATAAAAGACTACTTGTCTATGAATATCTAGAAAACAAGAGTCTTGATCAAGCATTATTTGGTATGATGTTACCTTTTCCTACTGCTTATGTTTGTTAAGGTGCTTATGTGTCTCAATGCTTAGTTGCCTTTACTTTTTGTTGTTTACCATTTTTAGTATGGATGTCACTTGCATGCTACAGGAAATTGTTTAAATCTCAATTGGCCCGCACGCTATGATATCTGTATGGGTGTAGCCAGAGGTTTAACTTATCTTCATGAAGAGTCCCAGCTCCGCATTGTGCACCGTGATGTAAAGGCCAGTAATATTCTCGTTGATCATGAGATTACCCCTAAAATATCTGATTTTTATTTGGCTAAATTATATGATGATAAAATGACCTATATAAGCACCCGTGTGGCTGGGACAATATAAGTCATCAAGACTCCTTGTTCTTTTAGGTTAGACAAATTGTATGCATGTTTTATTTGTTTATGCTAACACTTGAATATTTTTGTTTCGTTAAACTCTTAATAGTGGATATCTTGCTTCTGAGTATGCTATGCGTGGGCACCTTACAGAGAAAGCAGATGTGTTTTCCTTTGGCATTTTGGTCCTAGAGATTGTTAGTGGGAGGCTAAATTCTGATTCAAGCCTAGAAGGCGAGAGGATGTATCTCCTTGAATGGGTATGTGCTACCTTTGTGTTTCCTCTTAGTATTAGGATCCATTCAGTTTTTGGAAACCTTTTCAGTTATCATACTCTATTGTGAAACATTCCTAGACAACTAATTGGAACATGTCTAAATGCATCCGCTATCAATTGAGTAATACTTAACTCACTTGATGGGGATTGTGAATTGCTCCCTTTATTCTATATGAGTTCTTATGTGTTCTCATCACCAAATTACCCTTCCTTCGCTTCATTCCATATTCTTTAGCAGTGACACTTGACATAGAGAATCTTGTCCAATCTCTAACTCAAAGTGCTGACGAGTAAGGACATCGTTTGATTCTCAGCTTGCCATTTTTTGAAAACTCTATCCTTAACAGCTTAAAGGAAAAAGCATTCTGCTTGTCTATTCTAATGGTTTATGGGCCTTGGCTTAACTAGTTTCAGTTATTTCTAGGTCGACAAACTTGGCAGCTATATGAGAACAACTGTATAATTGGATTGGTGGATCCTAGACTATAAAAGATTTCAACGAGGAAGAAGTAAAAAGAATTGTAGGGATATCTCTTCTAAAACATCATACCTTTAACCCCTCAGAGTACGCATTTGGAAGCGTTATGGTTCAAGCAATTCACGAAACAAGCTCGTAGATTGAAATTTGCACTAGGTTTACATGTCACTATTCACTGGTTAAATTCCATATTACAGGTCCAATTTTGAAAAATCATAACTAATTACACAAGCCAACATCATCATTATTATCACATACCAGCTATGGTACACTTACAACATACATTGGTATATAAAGTGTATAACATAATACAACAAATTTCCTCAATTGTTTCTTCTTTCCTTGCTTCCACTCCATGTATCCTTCGCTTGGTCATATCACCTTGTGTCCTCACGCCTTCTTCTTACTCCCTTTTGCTTCCTAACCATCTAGCTTTCAATCAACTATATCCAAACCATCTTTTGAATGTCTCAAGGTCCTAATCATAGCCACAAGGGTCAAATTACTTATTAAGACCAAGAACTACATAATATGGAGAACTTGCGTCTTTAAACTTAATCCTTTTTTCTTAATTTATAATGTAGTGTTTTAGCTTTGTAAAAATTATTTTCTTAGGCCAATTCTACACAATTTTACCCACGGAATCCAAATATAAGCTTAGATTCATCAAAATCTAGGTCCTTCCCCTGATTCTAGGCCAAAACAGAAGTTTGCCACAAAAATTTCAATTTAAAGACCTAAGTTCTCCGTATTGTTCTTGGTCCTAATAAGTAATTTGACCCTTGTGGCTATGATTAGGACCTTGAGACATTCAAAAGATGGTTTGGATGTGGTTGATTGAAAGCTAGATGGTCGGGAAGCAAAAATGAGTAAGAAGAAAGCATAAGGACACAAGGTGATATGACCAAGCGAAGGATACATGGAGCGGAAGCAAGGAAAGAGGAAACAATTGAGGAAATTTGTTGTATTATGTTATACACTTTATATACCAATGTATGTTGTAAGTATGCCATAGCTGGTATGTGATGATAATAATGATGTTGGCTTGTGTATTTAGTTATAATTTTTCAAAGTTGGACCTGTAATCTAGAAAGTACCCAGTGAATAGTAACCCGCGAATCTAGTGCAATTTTCAATCTGCAGGCTTGTTTCGTGAATCGCTTGAACCATAATGCTTCCAAATGCATACTCTGAGAGGTTAAAGGTAGGATGTTTCATTTTTGGTATCAGAGCCAAGGTAGCAAAACTTTATTCTACTCTTATGTTCTTGGTATTTGCTTGCATGTATGACATGTTCTATGTTTATATGATTATATGAACTCATGCATCATGATTGTGAATATGTTTGAAATGTGTCATAGGCCTATGTGTTTTATGGCTAATGCATGATGATTTCCAAACATGTTATTATGTTATATAAATGTTAAGTTGCAAACATATTATGAATGCCAAGCTTCCCATGTATGTTTGGGTGGTTATTGCTTGCTACTGAGATTCTCTTGAGTCTCACCCTCCCTTAACCAACCATAATAGGTGTTATGATCAAGCGAAGGATATATAAAGTGGAAGCAAGGAAAGAGGAAAACAATTGAGAAAATTTGTTGTATTATATTGTACACTTTATATACCAATGTCGTAAATGTGCCATAGCTGGTATGTGATGATAATGATGACGTTGGCTTGTGTAATTAGTTATGATTTTTTAAAGTTGGACCTATAATCTGGAATTTAACTAGTGAATAGTAACCTGCGAACCTAGTGTAATTTTCAATCTGCGGGCTTGTTTCATGAATCACTTGAACCATAATGCTTTGATTTCAATGCTTTCAACTTCATTCTTTGATCTTATCCCTACACAATTTTTCATTTTAAACACATTGGAAGCATCAAAATCGTCAAAATCCAATCCTAGGCACAAGAACTAGGTCTGGCCGAAACAGTACTCAAGTTACACAATC